ACCGATACAGATTCCATGCTACAGTTGGTTTGGCGTGACCATAACAATTTTTCAGTTCAGGAATAAAAGACAAAATTTCAAACTCGTGGTGTGCTTCATTTTGAAGTCGTAATCTCGGACTATTTCGAATGTTGTCTAAGATTAAGATGCGAAAAAGTATTAAGCATAATTCTGGGTCAGTCAGTTCTCGATGCATGTTGTAATCCATCTATTCTGAAACTACAAAATTCGTCTGGACATGGATCTGGGGCGATCTGGAGGAAAATGGTAACCCTGCCTGCATAGCGTGGTTAATAATGACTCGAAATTACAGTTCCCCACTCTACTTTACTTGAATTTCGGCATCAGGCCAGAAGCACAAAAAACTCCGAAGGTTAATTTTATGATAAATAACTAGTGGTGCGCGGTGAACTAAGCCCCCTCATTCTTCCATTCCTATCTTTGTTCGTTTTGAGTCGTAAAATTCGTCGGAATGAGGATCTGAGACCTTGCGTCAAAAAAAGGAGGAGATGCAAGTTGATAACTAGCCCGGAAACGATCGAAGACCACATTTTCGAAACTTTAGCTTTCCAGCTTTTGCAGTTCAACAGCTTCATCTGCATGCACACACACGAGCGCGTGCGCACACACACGCATGCACGCACATGTACACATACACACACACACACACACACAAACACACATGCAAACACATACATACATACACACACGCATAAATACATGCACACACATCTATACAAATGCATACAAAAACATGATTGGATTATGATGCACTTTTTTGATATAAATTATTTAAAAACAGATAATAACAAAAATTGTTCCAAAAGCTATGGCTGCTTCACCGATCCGTGTACAAATCCAAAAACGAATCACCTCAACACACTTGTGAGACAAACTGCAACTGCCCACTTGAAAAAAATCAAGCTCAAAACCAATGTTAAGTAAAACAGAAACGCAGTTCTTGGAACAACCGCAAACAATATAACTTCTATGATAGAACAGTTTCGATGATTTAAGCGGGAAGCTCCAGATTCTTGCGTCCTCGAATCACTGAAAACCATAAATGAGTGGAATTAACTAAATGCTTTTTATAAGCCGAGAAATAGGCCGAAGATAATCCAGACCACAGTGAAAACAATCATCACATGTCTCTACCAGCTTCCCACCGAAACTGCTCAGCGAAACGTTGAATTACGCATTTTCACAAGCAGTCGGGGGAGGGGGATTCGAATGCGCGCCATCTTGTCCAGCAGAGAGCTCGCTAGTTTCTGCTAGTTGCGATTTTAATGGACTGGTGGCTGTTACCTCTTGTGACATAGAGATAGAAGAAATCAGCGTAGAGGATGGTCTGCACAACACCAGCGACGACAGCGATCGGATCGAAGAACTCCTCGGTATAAAAGCGATATATCCAATTCAAAATGTACAAAGCCCGATACATTCCCAACGCAAACAGGTAGTGTGCCGTAATTGTCTCAGCACTTCCCGTACGTGACAGCATAAACAGCTGTGGCATTATTGCAACCGCTTCCAGGTAAATGGAGAATGACCAGGCAATCTGAAAACAGTATCCGGGAAGGTATGTAGCACGATCCGAACAAGCAAGTCCACTGTGTTCAGTGCACAGCTCACTTTTTAAAACGTTCACAGTGCGATCATATCAGATCACAACGGAAAGAACCGCTAACGAAGAAACTCGAATTAAAACAACAACAGCTTCCCATCAGTTGATTCAGCTGAAAAGAGCTGAATTCAATCGAAAGCGAGAGTAAAAGCGATCTAAATCGATCCTACATCAGCAGAAACACAGCTGGTTCATTTTATTTTCAATTTTTGTCGATGTTTTTTCTACTGAACAAATAGAAAAACAGTGTGGCCCATCCAGTGAAAATCCATAGTTTTGCAGCTTATACGCTCCAT